TTCAAATATGATATCCTTAACCCCCGTTTGTTCCCTAATCCACTCTGCTGTCTTCTTGTCTCTTAAGGTTACACCTACCATTTTTCTTTCCATTGCTCGCTGCGTCGTCCTCAATTTAAGCTGAACCCTCTTTGTAAGTCTCCAGGTTTCTGCTCCGTAGCTAAGTACCGGCAAGATACAGCTGTTATATACCTTCCTCTTGAGGGATAATAGATCTATATACGTACATGCAGTGTAGTACAACGACGCGTCCACGCAATTCGTATGTAAACAAGTCAAAATTACAATATCAGCGTTGGCTCCCGCGACATCACCATTCTTAGCACGTACTATCGGCGTCAAATCAAACCCCGTACAGCGGCAAGTAATAGTAATGGCGCAATACGCTCCGTCCGGGCATCACAGTAGACATGCGCAGTGCTGCCAAATCGGAGTGATGTGCGCATGTCGATGGTAATGACTGGACGGCGCGCACTGTTCCGTTTCTACATCTATAATGCTCGTCGCCGTTCGGGTTTCACTGTTCGAGCAGAAACGTGTGCCGACATAGTGAACCGGCGCGTGCTCCAAGCACGCCAACAATTAAGCACGATCTGCAACGCATACGTAAATAAAACATGGAAAAAAAAGAGCACTTCGTGCCTCACGTGCACAAGGGGAAGTGTCCCACCGCATTGCCTATGCAAGTATAACTTTCCCGTATACGCAGTATGTTTTTTTTTTTTGCGCGTGAATATTATCTCGAAGTACTTGTTAATCACTTCAGTAGTACCGACTCGGGAAAAACACTGCTGTGCAACAGCACACTGCCCCGGTGTAATGCCGAAATCGTCCGACAGAATCAATGGGTTGCCTCTCAATTTTCGCGAATTGTATGGTATGTACTGGTCAGTTTTAGTCCAGTTTGCGCTCATGTTCGTATAGCCATTTGATGGTACAAGTGAGACCCCTCTTTCCCACGTAACTTCTGGCGTTCCACAAGGGTGCGTCCTCGGCCCCCTACTGTTTTTAATCTATATAAATGATCTGCCAAATAACATATCTTCCTGCATGCGTATTTTCGCAGATGATTGCATAATTTACCGTCCTATATCATCCCCCGACGACCACTTAACTCTACAAAGCGACCTTCACCGCATTAATGACTGGTGTAACAAATGTTTAATGTCCCTGAACACGGAAAAATGTAAAATAATCTCCTTTACGCGCAAACAAAACGTTTGCACTTTCCACTACACTATCAATAATTCTGCACTATCACAGGCATCATCCTATAAGTATCTTGGTGTCCATTTCACACCCAATCTCTCCTGGTCTCACCACATCACCACCATTAGCGCGAAAGCCTTCAAGTCCTTAGGATATCTACGCCGTAATTTACATAGCTGTCCCGCTCACGTCCGTCAACTAGCCTATCAAACCTTTGTCCGTCCCCAGCTTGAATTTGCCGCTCCTATCTGGTCCCCTTATCACAACTACTTAATTAACATGCTTGAAGCTATTCAGAATAGGGCGGCCCGTTTCATTTCACGCAATCATGACTATCACAGCAGCATAACGCAAATTAAAAACAATCTTTCTCTTCAACCCCTGAGCACTCGTCGCGACATTTCCCTTCTTTGCCACTTTCACAAATACGTGTACACCAACAGACCCCTCCCACTCCACCTCGATGTTCCTTCCATTACTTCACGTAGGTTGCATAATCACTTCAGTTTCAAGCGATTATACGGGGCAACTGATTCATTCAACTCATCTGCTCTTCCTCGTGCCATACGTTTGTGGAATGGTCTTCCAGATAACATTGCATCTGTATCAGACAATAATTCTTTCCGTCAGTTGCTGCTTACTCTCTTCTCACAATAGACTTGCCACTGTTCTGCACATTTTTTCTTTTTTAGTGTCGGATTTTGTGCCCGATTATGTTTGTTGCGCACTGGAAATGTTTTCTGTATATGGGCATAGGTTCTGCGTTTTTTGGTGCTTTTTCTATTGTATGTTCTGCAACTTATAAACAAATTACGGCACGTTGTTGAGGTAAAGCCAGCTGGCTATCTTTGGTTGATGTCGCCTTCATATGCTATAATGACTGTATTCGGTTCCCACTGTCGTGTGTGCACTATGAAATCGCCTTTTCTTTTTTCTTGTTATCGCCTGTTAACTTCAACTTATATTGCAAACCGCGTCATATTTTCATTGTGCTGTTACGCTTTGTAACGCGTGAATTAATTTTGTGTGATCTGTAAAACTTCACCAATTACCCCCCTTACTCAATGCCCTGTAAAGGGCCTGTAAGGAATTTTAAATAAAAAAAAATAAAAATAAACTATAACACTTAATCGACGTCTCTTAAGAGGATATATAGTATATAGACTTCCGCAATGGCTAAGCTGACATTTCCAAAGCTAGAAAAGCTAGCAATGATGCAAGAAAATTATTTATAGCCCTGACATGACATGACGATAGTTATAGCACGAAAACAAAACGACGACACAGAGACAAGAAGGACACGAAAGACACGAGCGCTACGTAGCGCTCGTGTCTTTCATGTCCTTCTTGTCTCTCTGTCGTCGTTTTGTTTTCGCGCTATAACTATCGTCATGCCATACCAACTAGCCCAAGCTGCCACACCTGACGTGACGCTGTGAATTGCGACAGGTTACCATTAACGGGCTCCTAGGCATTCCACGTAAGAAAGAACAGTCCAAATATGAAAAATAAAGAGCATTGTCAAACAGGCCGCACTGACATACGTGTGCTGAGTTTGGAGAGCAGGAATAAGAAAAAAAAAATACAATTTTAGTGAAGAAATGAAAGAGTTGGGAATTCAGAAGTTCATTATTCAGTCCCTCTACGGATAATATCCCACCGAACAAATTAAGACTTTTTTTGAAGATCTGCCTACCAGTTTACGTGGGTTTCAAGTGACCTCCTACAGATATTTTAAAAGCAAGAACAAAAAGTCGTAGTTTTAGCTTCGGATAGTTAAATATGTCTTGTGTCAACGCCATCAGCGCAGCTGCATCAAGTATATCAGCATTTAGCGCACAAGTTGACTAGCGTGTAACATACGCTAAGCGGCGTCTTGGCGTATTCTGGTTATGTCACAGTGCGTTGGATGGAATGAAACGAGATCAACTAACAAATGCTGCTATGCAGCGACCAACAACCAGCCATGCAGTAGTGTTAAACACTACGTAGACTACGCGATAACATACTAATGAAGATGTCGTCCAAGAGCCCTTTTTGTCAGATACTTTCGCTACCACATGTTGCCACTACGCACTTAACGCCTGGTCCATAATATTCTGGACGCATTTCACTCATAGGCCACATGCGCGGTACATGATCACATATGTGCCTCAATGGTTCGACGGTGCTTGCACATCGTCATCTTGTATGTTAAAACCGCTCTCGCCACATCCAGGGCACATGCGCACAGCTGCCTTGTCGGCATCATGGCGTAGCAGCAGTGGCAGATCCTGAGGGGGAGGGTTGATTCAGTGCTCTCTATTCCCCCTCCATATCCCCCCCCCCCCTCTATTCACTGCTCACAGCCCACCTCCTACCACCACTTAGGACAAATGAGTGAAATTCCAGTTAGCACATATTAACAGTATTTATGCTGCGAAGGATTTTTTCGGCTAGTAAAAACAAAAAGTCATGACTACGCCCTCCCCTCCGGTGTTGCTTTGGGTGACCACCTCCCCTAAAATGAGTGACTGGATCCGCCCCTGCGTAGCAGGTGACGGTGTCGTGCCCTTTTACTGATTTGATTATTTTCAATTACGGGAGATTTGCCTGCCATTACCAGAGTATGATTAGGCAGCAGACAGCGGTGGGAAAAAATGAGTTGAATTTCATATTGTACGATTCTTTAGCTTGCGCTCGCCTTTAAGTATACTGTTTTTGTTTGTTTGTTTGTTTGTTTGTTTGTTTGTTTGTTTGTTTGTTTGTTTGCATGTCCCCATCAATGCGCTGTCGCCGGGTACGGGAATTAAACCATCCTTGTGGTCAGTTGAGCGCCGTACGCGTTCACCCATCGTGGCGGTTTAATAGACTTCGAGGTAGCATTTATAGAGCTGCCGAAAGCAATACCATCCCGGATTTTATCTTCTTTCATTAATTTCTCTGTAGATGGCGGGCGCATGTCCTTGATGGATTTAACGTCCCAAAGACTCAGGCTATAAGAGAATCCGGATGATTTAGAACAACCTTAGTAGGGCTTAGCCAGCAATTTTTTTTTTCGGGGTAGGTGGGACGGGAGTAACCTCTTTCAAATCGGGAGAGGTAGCCTCTTCAAATTGACATATTTCCTTCTGTATGCCATATCAAAAAAATAATAAGGGGGGGGGGGAGCACGCCACTGCACTGTAACGAGCACAGACATCGCATAGAATACGCTAATCCCCAGCATTTCACCTCCATCTAAATACCAGGTCTAAACCCGCGTCTGATGGGGGTGTGTCCTCTCGACCCGATGACACATTTGAGCGCCCTTGGCAGGCACGTAGTCAGAATTTTTTTTTTTTTCAGGAGGGGGGGGGGAATCTCTGATTTCGGGAGGGGCAACCCCTTGGAACGGTCATTTTTCACTATTCCATGGCGAAAAAAATTTCGGGGGGGGGGGGAGAACGTATGTACTTGGTGTGCCACCCCATGCCTACGCCCCTGGCCATTGGCCGTACATTCCTCGACTAATTCAGCTCGGTGTAAACCGTAGACATACAAAGTTCAGAAACAGGGAGTTATCAAGTTGATAAGGTTTCCTAGCAGACGCCCGGACCCGAGAAAAAAAAAAGAAAGAGACAACATAAACACTGAATAACTTTCACAGCGTCACGGCAAAGGATCTAGACATAATCTGTACTCGCTCATGATATCGTACCCAATTTCAATACGCAACGTCTTCCGGAAAACAGTTCGCAATCTGAAGGTCATTCATCAAACGCATCGACTATTCAGCCTGAGCCGCCCACCTTCACCAGCCCTGAACTCACCAGGTAGAGGACTCCATACAGCTTCACCGCCCGGGTGAACGTGTTGTACCAGACGTCGAACCAGGCTTGGATGCAGTGCGGTGTCCACGTGTGTCCGATCTCGTAGCAGTTGTACGGCACCGACGCGCACAGGAACTTGCTGAGCGACATGGTCCTTCGTATTCCGCGGCTCCCGCCGCTCTCGCCCAGAAGCCGGCCACGCTCTAGTCCGTCACTTAACTAAGTCAGTCGGCTGCGAGGCATCGGAGAGCGCCGAATGAATCCACCCCCTCTCCATGCGCAGCGCACCGACGCAATGCAGCGAAAAACACGACTGACAGCACCAACGTTACTGGAACGACAGCGCAGCCTTCCGCCGCAACTGGCCGGGGGAAAAGGGAGGGTGCGATGATCGCGCTCTGGAAGCACGGCGACCTACTGCCACCGGCGGCCTGCTACACTCTCGCACGCTGCTGGGAAAGATCATCACTGGTTCCGCCGAAAGAGCATCTCTGTACCGTGGGATTTGCCCGGCCCGTTGACGTAGGCTGGAATACGCTCGAGGCGCACCTGCGTTCGGAGTCGACGCGACGATCACTTCTTCCTCTTCGTCCGATCGGGTCTTCGCGAGGCGGTGTGTAGACCGCGTTTGATCGTAGAAGCTGCGTCGTCGTGGGGTCAGGAAGGAAAGGCAAGAAAGAAACACGAGCTGCTCGATTCGCGAGCCGTGGACCAACTTTCCGCCGGCACGCGCCGCTCAACGAGATCGCTTACGCCCAAGGGGTGGGCGGCCACTGGATGATGGGCACGACGGCTCGTGATTTGCGCGCGAGCCACCTTTCCAGGCTGCACAAGCGACGACGACGACGACGACGAAAACGCGGCATTGGATTTAGCCACATGCGAATTTCTTCTTGACACTAGAATTCCTTGTTAACGTTATTCCCTATCAAATTTTTGTATTTCAGAATTCCTTTCATTATTTCATTGACTTACGTGTTACTGTGTTATTCTATATAGTCCGGTCACTCTAAAATCTTTTATTCGTGTGGTGATCAATTTCTTCCTCATTCCTTTTTAAAACTAAAAGTTTATTTATTATTTTTTCTTCATTAAAATATTAACCGCCGGTTTCATGGTCAATACCTCGTGGTGAGTAGGAGCCATAAATCAAGAAACAAGAACGCAAGCACGCATTATTTCTAATATTCTATCCTTGTGAACCTCCTCATTAGGTAGTTGTAACCAAGGTCTCTGTTCCACAGTAGAAAAATCGGGACGGATTTCATCGTACATCTCTAAATTAGTATCGCCAATCTCTTCTAACCATTCCACAGTGTATACATACAATTCATATGTGACCACTTTTATCTAATGCGTTCCTTCGCCAATCCCCCTGAGTGAGTGTGAGCCATACATATAGGCCATAATCATCATCATCGACATCATCATTAGCATCATTATCTACCTAAAGTCAAGCTTACTCACGTGCGTCACCACCATCATCATCATCTAGTTCAGCTTACTGACATGCATTTAGGTCATCATCATGATCATTATCATCTTTTTTCAAATGCATGTTCCATGACTGCCGACTTTTTTTTTTCTTCCTGAGAAAAACACTAACGAAATTACTATGCTTCGTCTGTCAGTTACTTCGACTGTACTGCTGTCGGTCGGAGCTTCTGTGCTCCGACAGTCGGACAGGAATATATGCAGGGCTGTAAAGAAATTCTTATGTGAATCAAGTCAATTTAGTCGACACATTGACCACGAAAATTTTTAAAGTATTCCTACCCAGCATAATGATATTTTTTGTCCTTTGATAGGTTGCGCAACACAGTTTATGCGAAGCTTGGGATTCATTAAATAATGCTTCGTTCAATCTAACTGACACTGTAACCTCTATATAGTGAAGGAAAGAAGTAAAAGTTTTGGGGGTTCGTTTTCCTTTGTTAGACACAAAATTAATGCGAACGGAGAACATTGCCAAGCAAAGTATATGGGATGTTATTAGTAGGAAATTTGATGTAAATGCAAAGTGCGCGGAAACATAACTTGCCGTGGACACGGACCGAACCTGCGACCTTCTAATAACGCGTCCTATGCTCTGCCAACTGAGCTACCACCACGTTTGTCCCCCCTCCATCTACTTCATGAGGTATATATGTGCGTGGCAGCTGTGTGGTTTATGCGAAAGGAGGTGGCTAAAATACTTTTACGTTTCTTACGAGAGACAGGATGAAGCGATATAAGGTGAGCCTAACTACATGGAAAGACTCGCTCGGGTGGAGCAAGGGCCGGTCAGGTCTGTTAGGCTAATCCTGCCTAGGGCACCATCAGCCGACCCCCCCCCCCCCACCCCCCCCCAATCCTCTGGTGCTTCTGAAAAGCTATACTTCGGCATAAAATATTATGATGCGTCAAAAAGCTTACGCATCAAGCCAGGGCCGTAGGTGTGTTCAGAAGACGTTGTTAACGACTTAGAGTACTTGGTACTCTACTATGGGAGATCATAAAGCCGTCTGTTTAGAAAAAGTGGGTAACGATTTAGTGCACTAGGTACACTACTATGGGAGAGCATATGTGCCGTCCCACGAGCTACGAAAGTTACATTGGTAGCTCACTGCAAACGCCGTAGCGTATCCAAGCCGTCCCGTGGGCCTCACACTTTTCCGAGGGTTGTTAGTGTGTAAAACGGCTAACTTTGGCAACGGGTGGCTAGGAAGTCGTGTAAATGCCTATAGTATCACTGGGAAAGTAAAAGCATAGAAATATTTTGGAGGGTGCCAGAACCCCCCTCTTTTCTCTCGTTACAGTCATGCTTCAAGCAGTTTCAACAACAGCGCCCGTTTGTTAGCCTTTTACTTTTCCTAGGCAAGCGCGTTGTCAAAATATTGTTTACTTGCACATAACCTATCAGTCGTCTTTTTGCGCTCATTGACTATAGCTATAGCCCTGTTAAAGCTGTTCAACGAAAAGGACCTAGCAGCGTCCGGCAGGTTAAGCGACTGTCAGTTCAGGTCGCGGGATCGACTCCCAGCTGCGACGGCTGCATTATCGATGGAGGTGAAAATGCTGTAAGCCCGTGTGCTCAGATTTGGGTGCACGTTAAAGAACCCCAGGTGGTCGAAATTTCCGGAGCCCTCCACTTGGCCGTCTCTCGTAATCATATGGCGGTTTTGGGACGTTAAACCCCACATGTCAATTATCAATAAACTGTCAGTTCTGACAAAATGCCATGTTTGTTAGACTTTTTATTTATTTATTTATTTATTTATTTATTTATTTATTTATTTATTTATTTATTTATTTACTTATACTGTGAACCCTAGCTTGAGGGTCATAACAGGGAGGGAGTACAATAGTACGTACAAACAGAAAACCAAAACAACAGGCACTCAAATAGCAATGCACACAAGAAACCAAAATTGGCAGTAGTTAAATTCAACCATGACCAAAATAAGCATCGATTTCTCTGTCAAAAGATTGCACATCGGTACTAACAACAACATGATGGGGTAAATGATTCCATTGTTGTATAGCATCCGGAAAAAATGACCAAAAATTATGTGACGTAAGCGTCGTCAAAATGTTGCGTGTAACTAGCGCGATTTCTCTTTATGGTTGACTCTTTTTTGCGTTCACAGCTGCGTGCACTGCGTGTTATTCCTATAATTTGGACAATAGCCACAGTGGGTCAGCATTTTTTTCTTAGAGTAAGAAAAAAAAATTATTCGGGAAGTAGTTCTGCTGTATACAACAATAGCCGTCATCTGGCTTGCTCGCATTTCCTTTCTTGATAGCCTTGTGATGGCCCGTTTGCTGTCGGGAATGACACGTCACACCGAATCTCGCAACCGCAACGCCACGAAACCATGGTGATATCGAAAGAGAAATGATCGCAACCGCAACGGAACCGTGGTGATGGCGCGAGAGGAAAGTACTCGAAGTGGGCGATGGTTATTGTTGTGTAGCAAAAACACTCACCAAATACTCGATATTTAGAGTGTACAACGCATATATTAGAGAGTTTTAGTACTGCGTACGCTGCGTACGTAAGGACGCCACGTTCTGCGTAGTGCGCATGCGCAGACCGCAACGCGCACGTATCGCGTTACGTGCGCAGCCGCTACGTACGCACGCATGAGATGCGTGCGTGCGTACGTATGAGCTGATCGTGTTGCCCTCGAACAAGTTCGCGACAGCGCGAGACCTCGTTTTGCAAAATGGCGGCATCGAAGGCAAGCACCGACTGGCTTTGTGGCTTAAAATATGGCCATAATCTGGCTGTGACACTTGGATTGGCTCACATTGGCTGTCAACAACACGTGCTTCTATTTTGATCTACCAGATGGCGCAACACGCTTCACTCTCGTTACGTACGCGGGTACTACGGCGTACTAAAAGCCGATTAGTGGCAAACAACGCCACGTAATGCAAGGCCCTTGCGTGATGCATACGTAGCACCATTCCGCAGTACTAAAACTCTCTATTATCTAAAGCGTGCAACCTGCTGGCCAATCGACGTGCCTGAAAGAAGGCGCGGAGAGTTATAACGCGAGCAGCAGGAGAGATAGCCGCACGTGCGCGCAGGCTGCTTTGAGGTGGCAATCGGGTCACGACGGAAGTGAAGTCTCCGCGCGCTCAAGGCGGCGTAGATTACGGTCGCCGTGAAGGAAAAGAGATAGAAAGAAAAAGAAATTGCGCGCGGTCCACCAACGAGCGCAAAACCAGGAAGTGCGTGGGGTAAAACGGAAAGCACCACCTTCCGAGCGTTACGTAACGGTCGCTCCGCAGCGGCGAGCGTTGCTAAAAACGCGGCCGGCGTTGCTTGAGGAGCCGTGATGACGCCGTGTGACGGCCGAGCTCGATGGATTCAGGGGAAGGAGGCACGCTCACTTACACCCGTATTCTCTGACAGGATGTCCGATTTCTTAAGCGAAACGTTTACAACTCAGCTTTCGGCGCCGTACTATATGGCCCCTGCGCGAAAATCCCGGCGCAGGTGCGCACAGTCGTCGCATGCGCATTTGAATGCGCCGTTTTTTAGTAGAGAGTTTTAGTACTGCGGAATGGTGCTACGTACGCATCACGCAAGCGCCTTGCGTTACGTGGCGTCGTTTGCCACAGATCGGCTACAGTGTACTAGAATTCTAGTACACTGTAGATCGGCTTTTAGTACGCTGTAGTACCCGCGTACGTAACGAGCGTCAAGCGTGTTGCGTCATCTGGTAGATCAAAATAGAAGCACGTGTTGTTGACAGCCAATGTGAGCCTATCCAAGTGTTATAGCCAGACTATGGCCATATTTTAAGCCACAGAGCCAGTCGGTGCTTG